CTCAGCCTGGACACCTGCAAGGCACTTACCAGACGAGCTCAGCACAATGGGTAAACTCTGCCAGGGCAGTTACTAACTCACCAATAATATATATATATTTTAGACAGAGTCTCATTTTGTCCCCCTCAGTAGAGTGCCATGGCGTCACAGCTCATAGCAACCTCAAACTATTGGGCTTAAGTGATTCTCCTGCCTCAGGCTCCCAAGTAGCAAGGACTACAGGTGCCTGCCACAATGCCCGGCTATTTTTGTTGTTGTTGTTGCAGTTGTTGTTGATGTTTAGCTGGCCCAGGCCGGGTTCAAACCCACCAGACTCGGTGTTTGTGGCCGGCACCCTTACCCACTGAGCTTTGGGTGCCACCTCACCAATAAATATTTATTAACAATGGCATGGCTTGGCACCTGTGGCTAAAGCAGCTAAGGCTCCAGCCACATACACCTGAGCTGGCAGGTTCGAATCCAGCTGAGGCCCGCCAAACAACAATGACAGCTGCAACCAAAAAATAGCCAGGCATCGTGGCTGGTGCCTGTACTCCCAACTACTTGGGAAGCGGAGGCAGAAGAATGGCTTGATAGGAGTTGGAAGTTGCTGTGAGCTGTGATGCCATGCAACTCTACCCAGGGCAATAGTTTGAGACTCTGTCTCAAAAAAATAAAAAAAATAAAAAAAACAATGGCATGGAAGAGCTCTCCTGTATCTCAGTTTCTACACTTGTAAAATAAGGAACTCCATCTTACAGCACTGGGAGAATAACAGGATATAATGCAAATCACTTAGCAGTGGTGCATATACCTAGAATATGCTCAATACAAATTAACTATTAGTAGTAATTGTTGACGGCATTATGATCAAGACAAAAAGGAATGATTTAATTGACTTAGTTAAAAATAGATATTCCTTCCTTCCTTTCTTTCCATCATAGCTCACTACAGGCTCACACTCTTGGGCTCAAACTTCAGCCTCAAAAGTATCTGGGGCTACAGGTGCATGCTACTTTGCCCAGATGGAAAAAAAAATTGATATTTATTTATGTTTCGACTCAGATGCTCACTTTGTTACCCGGGGTAGACTGCTATGGTGTTTTATAGCTCACAACAACCTCAAACTACCAGGCTCAAGTGATCCTCCTGCCTCAGCCTCCCCAGTAGCTGGGACTACAGGCACCTGCCAAAACACCTGGCTATATTTATTTATTTATTTATTTTATTTGAGACAGAGTCTCACTATGTCACCCTTGGTAGAGCACTGTGGCATCACAGCTCACAGCAATCTTAAACTCCTGGGCTTAAATGATTCTCTTGCCTCAGCCTCCCAAGTAGCTGGGACTACAGGTGTCTGCCACAATGCCTGGCTATTTTTTGGTTGCAATTGTCATTGTTGCTTAGCAGGCCCAGGCAGGGCTTGAACCCACCAGCTTCAGTGTATGCGGCCAGTGCCCTACGCAATGAGCCATGGCTATTTTTTACTGACAGGGTCTTGCTATTGTTTAGGCTGGTCTCAAACTCCTGAGCTCAGGCAATCCACCGGCCTCGGCCACCCAGAGTGCTAGCATTACAGACATGAGCCACCACACTCCACCTTGATATTCTTTTTAAAAACAATTTTAGATTTATAGGCCAGATGAGGTGGTTCATGCCTGTAATCATAGCACTCTGCGGGACCGATGTGGGTGGATTGCTTGAGCTCACAAGTGCCAGACCAGCCTGAGCCAGAGCTAGACCCTGTCTCTAAAAATAGCCGGGCATTGTGGCAGGCACCTGTAGTCCCAGCTACTCAAAAGGCTGAGACAAGAAAATCTCTTGAGCCCAAGAGTTTGAGGATACTGTGAGCTATGGTGCCATGGCACTGTACCAAGGGTGACAAAGTAAGACTCTGTCTTATAAATGAATAAATTAATTAAAAACAATTTATTTTTATTCATTTATTTATTTTTGAGACAGAGTCTCAAGCTGTCACCCTGGGTAGAGTGCTGTGGCTTCATAGCTCACAGAAACCTCCAACTCTTGGACACAAGTGATCCTCTTGCCTCAGTTGTTTTATTTTTAGTAGAGGCGGGGTCTCGCTTTTGCTCAGGATGGTCTTGAACTCCTGAGTTCAAGCAATCCACCCACCTCAGCCTCCCAGAGTGCTAGGATTACAAGCATGAGCCACCACACCCAGCCAATAAAAATGATTTTAGATTTATGGAAAAGATAGTTCAGAAAGTTTCCATATACTTCATATACGGTTTCCCTTATGAACATCTTACATTAGCATAATACCTGTGTTAAAATTAATAAACCAGGCTGGGCTCAGTGGCTCACGCCTGTAACCCTAGGGGAGGCCGAGTCAGGTGGATAGCTTGAGCTCACCAGTTCAAGATCAGCCTGAGCAAAAGCAAGACCCTGTCAACACTAAAAACAGGAAAACTGAGTCAAGAGGATCACTTGAGCCCAAGAGTTGGAGGTTGCTGTGAGCTACAATGCCACGGCACTCTACTCAGGGCAATAGACAGCTTGAGACTTTGTCTGAAAAAAAATATTAATGAACCAGTACCAATGCATTATTGCAGTTTTTTTTTTTTTTTTTTTTTGGGCCGGGGCCGGGTTTGAACCCGCCACCTCCGGTATATGGGGCTGGCACCTTACTCCTTTGAGCCACAGGCACCGCCCTCCAATGCATTATTATTAACTAAAGTTCATACAGTGTATACAGCTTTTCTTAGTTTTTATCTAGTGCCCTTTATGGTACAGGATGCTACCCAGCGTGCCACATTACATTCTCATCACATTTTTTGAGACAGAGCCTCAAGCTGTCATCCTGGGCAGAGTACTGTGGCATCACAGCTTACAGCAACCTCCAACTCCTAGGCTCAATCCATTCTTCTGCCTCTGCCTCCCAAGTAGCTGGGACTACAGGCGCCTGCCACAACGCCTGGCTATTTTTTGGTTGCAGCCATCATTGTTGTTTGGCGGGCCCCAGCTGGATTCGAACCTCCCAGCTCAGGTGTACATGGCTGGCGCCAAGCCAATTTACCTTTTTTTAAAAAAACTCTTCTCATATTATAGTCTTTGGAAGAAAGTTACTATGGGAAGTTCACACTTAAGGTGTGAGAGGTATGTCTCCTTGAGGGCAGAGTACACATAAGTTATTTGGAATTCTTTCATATGGGAGATTTGTCTGTTATCCCCATTTATTTATATATTCGATTCGTTATGCAGTATCTGTATAGACATAGGGAAATTTATACTTTGTGTTATAATCCAATACTGCTTTATTTTATTGCTGTATTGTTGCAGTTTTGGCTGTTGGAAGCTCAGTTTGCTCCTATGTCCATTTGCAGTACAGTGGTTCCCCCCCTTATCTACAGTTTCACTTTCCTTGGTTTCAGTTACTTGTGGTCAGCTGCGGCCTGCAATTAGGCAAGTGTAGTACAATAAAATCTTTTGTGAGAGAGAGACCATGTTAACACAACTTCTATTATATTAATAGTATATTGTGTGATGGATTTATGGATGTGTGACTTAGTTCAATGTAAGCATTTCACATTACATATCGAAGCAGTACCCTGAACCCCATAAATGCATCAATGTACAAAGTTATGATTTAATAAAAAATAATTTTAAAATAGTATATTGTTATAATTGTATAATATTATTAAAGATAGTTCTTAATCTCTTCTTGTGCCTAATTTATAAATTAAACTTTGTCACAGGTGTGTATGTATGGGGACAAAACAATTTTCAAGTCTCCTTAAACTCTTCTTGCAGTTTTTCAGATTTTCCTTATTTTTGATTACCTTGACAATTTTGAGTGCTGGGCAGGTATTTTGTAGAACGTTCTCTGTTGGAATTTGTCTGATTTTGTTTCAAGTTTAGATTTGAGCTATTTATGGGTTTGGGGGCAATAAAGCACCATTATCATTATTGTATTGTATCAAGGGTGCATACTATCAACATGACTCATCACTTTGATGTTGACCTTGATTATCTAACTGCTACAGTGTTTGTCAGATTTCTCTACCATAAACTTAGTCTTTTCTCCTTTTCCCATGTTATACTCTTTGAAGGAAATCACTACACATCTTACACTTAAGGAAGAAGGGTTTTTGCTTCCTCCATGGTGAAGTATCAGAATAAATCCTTTGATATTCTGCAGGGTAGATTTAGGAATTTGTTTTTCAATTTAATTTTTTTTTTTTTTTGAGACAGAGGCTCACTATGTCACCCTCAGTAGAGTGTTGTGATGTCACAGCTCACAGCAACCTCCAACTCTTGGGCTAAAGTGATTCTCTTGTCTCAGCCTCCCAAGTAGCTGGGACTATAGGCACTCACCACACCTGG